ACAAAACTTGGTAATTTTGTTCAAGTGGAAGCTCTAACCTTTGCAGGGAGCGCACCTCTTCCCAATTCCAAACGGCTAGGAAAAACGGCACTGTGGTGAGCGCAATAAATATACTAGAGAACAGTAGGCATGTCTTAATTTGACCTACTGATGTGGCAGGACCTTCTTGATTGGTGCGTATCCAGGCATCGCGAAGCTCTTTATCACGGGGACTGCAATTTTCGTTTCTTCGGCCATGTCATTGACTGCTTCAAGGATGGCTTGGATGTCCCACCTGCAGCGGGCTTCCACAAAATATTCAGGCTAGCTGCTTGTAACATTTCTGTAATGACACAGCTTCTGGAGTGCAAAGAATATACAAGCATATCTAATGGAATGAATTTCATCATGTACCGTTTCACAGCTTCTGAAGTGCAAAGAATATACAAGCATCTCTATTGGAATGAATTTCGTCATGTACCATTTCATCTGCCCGTCATCGCCAGCGGAGACTACGTGACTTGCATTCCTTGGATCTCTGAATACGGTATTAATGGCTCCCCGATGGCATGACGGTAAATGTTTGATGGGAGGCTCCGTTGCGTTGTGGACCCCGTCTTGCCCATTGGAAGCGTCCGACACAACAGCGGAAGAGCTTTTGCGCCCAGAACGCACGGAGCTTCGAAGATTATTACGACTACGCCCTGTTCCAGAGGGCCCTCGTTGCGACGATACTTCATCCATGCGTTCTCGTGAAGTGCTAGAGCTTCTCCGATATGGATTGATAGCTCCAGGCAACAGCTCTAGCATTTCTGCCTTGATATCGCCATCCTGCAGGACTCCACCATTCACAGCATACGCAATTCTCTATTCCTCTTTATTCAATCATTGCAAGGGCAGGAAAGCATTTCTCCTTCGTTTCGTAGCAGCGCGACGGGGGGCTTTTCGCAGAGTCAAATGGTCTTTTCGGTCCCGAGCAATCCTAACAGAGTTACTCGAAAGCATACAAATAGCTTGCATGCTGTCTCACCTCCCACAGAAGCAGGTTGCCCGAATCGGATCCGGACAACAGCATTTGTTCCGTGATTTCCACAAAGCTGCGGATATCTGAAACACTCAGTTGTCCAAACCTACAAGTCCGCCCCTGAAATGGAAGTACAATATGCAAGCTAAAGCCTACATATGTATCTAGCAGATTTTCAGAGAGAATATCTCGTTGAATTTGAGCACGAAAAGATGAAGCGGCATTTTTGACTTGAGAACCCTATCTAAGAAGCATCGAGTTTAATTTGTTACGTTTTTGAACAGATGGCTTTTGCAACAGGGTGAATCTGACCTTGAGTTTAAGACCAGTGAAAGTTTGTACAGCTGTCCAAAGGCGAATATGACGTGATCCTGAAGTCGTTAATTGGTAAGCGAAGAAAGTTGACCTGTTCGCATCTCATGTAAACCCACGGTTGTGATATAATCATATGTAAAATGCTAAAAGCCTCCGAGATACAACTGCACTTAGTAGAGCTCCTGCGTAGAAGAAGAGAAGCGGCCGCCCGCACCAAACTTCATACCATTGTAGGTCCAGCACTTGCAACGCGGGAGTGTTTAAGCGAAGGAATGGGGACGCTGTAGAAACGTTCCAAAGTGTGAGGTAAGAGGTGGAAAGCGAAGCGACTTCCCCCTCATCTCCTTCCCACCCGACCACAGCAAGCAGCGGTACTTGCTCGGGATCAACCAGCTCATCCTTTGGCATGTTTCCGTCCGACGTTTCTTCTATTTTGAGCTTCAGAGTGGAAGACCCTATCACACTAATCTCGCGGTATGCATCTTGCTCCATAGAGGCCTGTAGAGTTTCCTCGCTCGCTGCTTTCTTATCCGATATCTCAAGCTCCCTATTTGCATCGCGCGTCTCCGGGTTGCACCCTCCTATCGAGACGCCCACATCATTGCCAGTTAAAGCAAACTTCCCACGAAAGGCCGCGGCGGAGAATCCGCGCTCAGCAAATGCCTTAAAAAGCTGTACGAGCTCAAATGTGCTTGATGAATATATATAGATATCTGCAATTTTTCACAAGAAAGCGCAACGCCGCAGCAGAAATGCGAGGCGTAGACGGAGGTGGCGCAACCCAGTAGCATTTTTACTTAAGTGTATCTCACATTCTAATAGCTAAGTAAACAGAGAAGCTGGTATCTTCTGATATGTGGCATATTCTTGAAGCTAGAATACATTATTTCTGTACGGTCTTCAAGACGGCCTGAAGCCGCCGACCAACTCGGACGTGGTGCGTAGCCATACCCAGGCATTGAGAGACTGCTTACTTGCAGGCTTGCCGATACTCCGCCCACAGATAGCTATGAGCTCATGGTCGTTGTCTATTGCCACCGCTGATATACCGCCATCATCTTCGAATGCGTTTGAAGAATGCAGCACATACGGGTCCCTAAGGCATGGGGCGTTTGAAGGTGTGAGGAGATGTTCCTCACACGTGGGAGGAAAAAAACCTATTTTGTATAGTATTAACTGTGTGTTTGTAACACAGGCCAGCGTGTTTCTGTCCACGATAAGCACCTGCTGCCTTGATGAATCCTGGCCGCCAATATGAGTTGTCCTCATTGGGGGCTCGACCAGCCTCAATGCGTCCATTTTTGCCCTCTCTACACTTTTAGTTTCCAAAGAAACCCACTGCAGACCAAATGCTATGAGCCTAATACTGCCACACCAGTCACTTGCACGGCTTGTATCCAGTGTCGTTGAGGCTGGAAGCGGTTGATGTCCCCTGAGATTACTCAGCCCTTCTGCCGCCAGAAAGGCAGCTCAGGTTAAAGTAACACTGCTAGCTCCGAAGGCTTTTCTTTACATCTTAACAGGTTCAAACCAACCTCCATCAATCGAGCTGCTGTGATTTGCCAGAGAAAGCTAGGATGGAAGAGGCTGGCAGCTGACTAGTATCGACACGTCTCTCATGCGGCAGAGTTCAGACACCCAAGCAACCATTTTATTTTGGAAGGCTGTCAAGTCATGGGGCAAGGATCGTGCCGTCCGAAGCAGTGCTCAACCATATACTTTGGTGGCACTGGAAAGCTGCGGGAAAGTTTCACACTGAAAAAGCTTTAGAGTTGTGAATAGCCTTTATCTTTTAGAACATATGTACACAAATAATGGGCGTATCGCACGGGGTGTATATGGAGAGAACCACCAGGTGCTTTGGATACAGCCACATCCCGAGAGGGATCTATACACGGTTAAGTGTCCTTGAAATTGGATGGGCCTTGGGCAAATGCCGAACCAAGCACTATTTAATAAAGAAAATGATCGATTTTGGTACTGAATGCCCCTATGTGCTCCCTGTGCGGGACTAGTGTCTTGAGCACGGCCGCATTTCGCTGATCTTTCGGCCTCGGGGTCACCTGCTGGCATTCAGAAAAGGGATTAGGTCAGCTGTTTCTGTCTTGCAGAGTTAAGAAGTACATTATTTTTATTATTAAACAGCCAACGCTATTCATTCCGGCCATTTATGTTCCTGGTTTACAATCTGGGCGTTGAATCGTCAACTTCTGAAACAGAGTAACCACGGCTCAAAATACTCGCCGAAGTGAGAAGCAGAAAACTCCCCGAACTCAGCCTTTCACCTGTTCATAAGGACTAAATAATTTTTTCCCTTGAATATAAACAAAGCTTTTTACCTTTTCTGTGAATATTTCGTTGGCAAGACGAGTGCATAGCGAGACCCTCGCCTGTCTTATTTTGCTCCAGAGCAACGAAATCCTGTGCTATGCGCAGCATATAAACGACTTCCAGCATACACCACATTTGCTCGCTGTACGTTGTATGCATACACTAGCTTTTCCATTGCCGCGCTTAGGGACCCAAACAGAGTCATGGAGGGGGAAAAGTTGAAGGCTTCCCTGCTTAGCGAATGGAACAGCGTGAAGCTACAAGCTACCAGTAAAGACTTGGCCGCTGCACTTTTAATTTTTACTCGGCAATATAGCACATCCTTCTGCCTTGTTTTCAAATGCTAAAATCCTATTCCCACAATTCTTCAATTCCAGCCATGCTCCAAAGCCTGTAACACGATAACTGTTGCGCAGTATCGTCAATGAATCAACGGCTGGCCATCAAAGCCTAAACACCACTACAGCAGGAAACACCCATAGGCTTGTAGCACCGGTCTACCCGATATAATGCCAGAGCGTGGTGCGCTCATTCGATACGGGACGCTTTGTTCTGTTTTGCTGGCATGCAGAAGACTACATCATGTTTCCTGCACCAAAGCTGTGAAAGCTTCGCGGTAAATATGCTGCGGCACAAATATTTTTATGCCTCTTGGCAAAATGCACTTGGAGAAAGGCAACAAAGTAAGAAAGTCACAAGACTCCTACGCGTACGACGCGCGGCAGGCGCCACTCCTTCTGTCCTGCAGTCCCAGAGCTCGTAGCATTACAGAAAGACTTTTCACAGGCTACTTACTGCGAGGAAAAACCCTAATACTGAGGTTTCGGTAAGTAGCATCCCTACATTGGCGGGTTGCAGAGGGTCAGGCTGTTGACAAATATGCAGGCTCATATAGGCTTACTACTAGTGCAATTCCAGGTGCATGTTGGTGCAGCGTAGCACTCTGCACCCTGGATGTGCACTAGAGCGCAGCACATGCTTCAGAAGATACAGCATGCAGCGATGCCTTATTTAAAGGCAAGAAGGGCCTATTTATTATTTACTTCTGTGGAAATGTCGCCACAGGAAGACAACTATGCTTTTTATAAAGGCTGTCATGAACAGGCGTGCCTGTCTACTGATGTATCACCATGCCTGACAAGTTAAAGGGCAGATCACGTACCGCCTAGGTTTTCTGGAGCTAGTTCAGTCTGATATTTCAGTAACGTATTCAGACTTGCAAGCCTCCAGAAAAATTTATGTGAAGCCTGTAAGGTACGAGTAGGTGACAGGCACTAATCTACCTATCAAACTAATGCCACTTACACTAATTTACAAGAAAAGGGCAAAAATGTAATTCAAGTAGTTGAAGCTACAAGGCGGTAGATAGCAAGATTGCGGTGCCTAGCTTGATCCAGAAGGAAGGGTCCTGAGAGCCGCTGCGTATTTCTTGCATTGTAACTAGGGATGGCCTCTCACCGTCCCCTGAGCGGCAAGGGTACTGGTAAATGGGGCACATGTAAAGCGCATCAGAAGAGGGGCGCCTGCGTACAACCGGCTTGAAGTGCACAATGGGCATTTCGTACGTCAGTTGCATAGGCTCCGGCTCCTTCAGAGACATGCCTTCAAGGTTCCACGAAGCTCCTTCAAGATACATCCGCTTCACGTATGCTCCATCTCGAGGCGTTGCCGAAATCACATTCTCATCATAAGTAGTCTGAAAGCAACTGTCAATCCGTCCATGCCATCAATTAATCCTAGCGATTCCCTACTTCCTAATGGTCGTGTGCCACAGGGCTTTTCAATGAAAATGCAGCTTCCGCTTTGCTAATATCCCTATCTTGAAGCCTTGCTCCTGCTTAATCAACATCGAAAAAATGTACCTGTGCTACAAATTCGAAACTAATAGAGTCGATTGAAGTTGAGTTTCTCCTTGCGAACTGCTGCAACAACGCTGTCAAGAACGCCCCCGGATAAGTGAAGCCGCCCAACCAGAAAACTTTCGGTTGGCTCTCCTAAAAGCGTGTCACACACCGAACAAGGCAATAAAATGTGTTCAGCTAAAACCTTGGGATGCCTTTTGTTCCCTTCCAGCCTACGCGAGATCTCTTGTAGAGCTCAAACACCTCGAAGATGATCCAAGGATGGGAAAAATAATATTAGAAGCATCGGCTTACAAGACCCCACTTCTTAATTTGGTCCACTCGAGCGGAAAGATCAAGCGACCATGATGTTAGGGGTTTCGCAGAAGGGAAAGCAAAGTTCCAACATTTTGGAACTTGCCCGTTCAGCAGAGAATACTCTAAACTCTCAATATCCTCGGTCATCACCTGAATCCCTGCAACAGCCTTTCTTAGATGTTGAATCATGTCTCTTACGCACGCTACAAGCCTATTAAGGCGCTGCGCCTCCTGAAGCATTACAATTCGAAGCGGTGAAGAATCTTCAGGTCCTTCTTGTTGTAACTGAGCAATATCAAGACGGTGGGGAAGAATTTGCTCGAGATGATCGCAGCACCGAAGCACCTACGCGCAGCACGAAACATAGATCCGCCATTTGATATGCTATTTCAGCGTGTGATTTCCACCGAGCAATTAAATCCTTTCCAGTAGAAACTGCAGGCTTTGAAGCTTAAGGAACTGTTGCCTGTTAGTGTCTTCGGAGTCTGCATACCCTGGATTCTCGCGATTCTGGACTCCCTGTCTCGTTGATATCAGATCCAGGAAGCTGCATACTTAAAAGCGTGGAAAATAGTTCTTCTGCCTCTTCTATTTGGGACTGGATCTCCGCGTTCACATGTTGACCGAAGAGTTCAGGGGGATCTACTGCAGGTAGTTCACGAACATATTGCCGCAGGCCAGTCTGTAGGAATCCGCACTTAAATACCAAGAATTGCTGGCAAAAAGTAACTGAGTGAACTGTGTATCAGATTAACCAAAGACGAGCCCCAAAAAGTGTGGAGACTTCGGGGCGAAAATGTGCGTTAGCATACTAAAGAGGTGTTTTCAGGCATAGGATACTGCGGAAGCCCTTGGAACCTAAAATCACTCGAAAGCACTTGCTGATTAAAGCAGTCGTTACAGTACAACCGCAGCAACCTCATATCTCTTTCATCAGTCAGGCGTCCACCATAACAAGCTCCAGCTATTCGGAAACGTATTGCCTCCCACGGGAGTTCGCCTGGCCACTGCACCACACATTGCCAGGCGAAGCTCACAGATACAGCGTCTGCAAGTACAGAACGATAAAGGCGTCCCATGCATGTCTGCATATGGATGTCAGTTGCTTACCTGTTCGCAGTAGGTGGCAAGAAGGCTGTCTCCGACGAAGAAGTCACTGTCGCTGAAACTGGCAGGTGTACTCCACCCAACATTGTGGAACTTTCCCCTTTCCACTAATATTGAATGCATCCAACACAAAGAAAAAAAGAGCCGCCTATAGCGCTCGTCGCCGCCAGCCACGCGATGCATATCCTCATCAGTGCGCTGCTGCAACAGGCGCTGGAGATTTGCTTTGAGGCCACGTGGTCTTTCGATTGTTATTTTCGTCGACCTGTGTGACCGAACTGCACAAGAACTATGGCAACTACAAGAAACAGCATAGCTGAGTATCCCGAAATCAACTCGCTTTTGTAAAGAACTTCCCAAAAAAAATGACGTTGAAAATTGATACGGTACCTTTGCAAAAGAGCAATGGGAAAATGCGTTGTAGGCTCCGAGCTGAGCCATAGCCTGAAGTCTTTATGGAGCTGAGCCTCCAGAATTTCTTCAGCTAATTTTTCTAGTGTTGGAAGCCAGGAAAGGGCAAGGTGGCAGTTCGCCAAAAAGACCCAAAACCCATGGCGCGCGCCGTCACGAATAACCTGCTCTGCTCTTGATGACTGACCTTGACCCAGTGCAACGGAAACAACCTGTTCATGGCACGAGCACTAAGTCCAGGACTTAGGTGCGCAGAGGTCCTATGCACTAGGTCTGAACAGCTCACGAGCTGCTAAAACTAAAACGACACTTTGCCACTGGTATCAAGAGCTATAGCTTATGCGTACGGTGGTGTTTTTCGAAGCAGCAAATGTCATCAGCTGTCCGACAGGGTCTACTCCAGACACGATAAAAAGCAGTGGAACTGAGTTTTTCGATGACGCGTATAGTTCTTCCCAATCTAAAGGAGCCGATTCAACGAACTTGAAATCCATGGCCTCAGCAACAAATCGCGATGAAGCAGGGATTATACGGTCAGGACGTAGGCACCTAATAACAACGAGCCGCTGGAGGCCGTCTAGTCGAGTTTGCCATTCACCAGGCAGAGCTAGCCGCTCAGGTTCGGAAGATCCGAACCATCGGCGCCACTCCCTGCACCAAATGCCGCCTGTATGCATTGGTAGAAGCTTTCAGCGAGACATCAAATGGAACGCAATAAACAATCTTACAAATGAAGTTTTCACATTGCATGGAAAAGTCCCAAGATTGTCAAGGCTGGGGACAAACATCTATTTAGCATACCGTAGATTTTGCTCTATAGAGCTCTGCAAGCCTTGGAATGCTTCTAGCTGACCAGCCTTGCAAATAAGCTGCCACGCCGCCGGCGCAATCCACTCTGGGTCGGGGTTAGGAATAGATGTGGCCGCATCGTGAAGACCACCACGCGTGAAAAGAAAAGCGTACTCGTGACGGTTAATCTGGTCTTCAGCAAGGAGGATGCTTGCACACAGGTGCAGGCTTAAAAGGGGCTTGTGACGCTCAAAAACACCCTGTCTTGCGTGCCTAGTTGACACCAAAAAATGAGAACAAAGCAACGCCACAAGCATGTACGTTTTACTGTGATATAAAAGGATGCAAGTTCGCTCAGTTAGCAACCCCCGTACCTGTATATTGCAAGCGTATGATCTGCATTCAGTGCAATGACATGTTCCTCTGCTGACGCTGCCACTGCGTTTGATTCCATCGCTCGTGTGATTGACTCCATAAACAAGTCTTCATAGGCGTCTAGCGAAAATTGATACATAGAGTCCGCTAGTGCTAGATCTTGCAAGACGAAATACAGAACTGAAGCACGATGGCCGCAGGGTCTACAGACAGTGCGCACCAAGGCAATATGTGGCCCTATGCCTTATCTGCTAATTGTGCTTAAAAGAATTGCCATTTCGAAGATTCGGCAAACGATGTTTTTACGCCTTAGTCCACCTGTGAAATCGCTTTTTGACTTCCTACCGGTATGCTTCCCGTGCTTGATCGATTTTCTTCATGGTGCGCTCTGACACTTCAATTTGTGAGGTGACATCCCCTGCAACGCGTTTTGAATCCTGAAATGCATGCTCACTCTTTCTGGAGTATTGCTATTTAGCCCTAGTGATACTGCGCTGCATTCCATTGGTTTTCATTGTGAGTTGTGTTGTCTTCGCGGAACAAATCCATTGGGGCTTTGCTGCGCTTGTACTCACTTGCAGCACTCGGATAAGCTCCATATCATCTAGAAGGTAGCCTCTTGCCGCAGTTAAAAGCTTGAGAATTTGATCCTCGATGTCTTGCAAACGCTTCCGGCCTTCAGCAAGTTTCAAAACCAGTGCATGCTTGTGTGCTTCCAGGCTTGGCTCTTCTTTCATTACAACAATTCCCTGAATTTTAAAAAGCAGCTTTGAGCTTTTGCTTGTTTTTTTAAAGAAGAAAACAGAGCCTTGTTTCACAGCGAGAGAACAGCACTAGTATAGAAGGAAGTTCCTCTTTCTCCTTTTCAATCCCTTCAACCCGTGCAAGTAGGAGCCATCATCACGTCAGATCTGTCTACTCTTGTTTTCACTTGTTTCACCTTCGTTTATCCATGAATAGGAGAGTAAACCAAAATTTGATGCGATCTAAAAGTTCTTTCTATCAGCTAACCAGAAGTTGTTCAGTCAAGCCATCCTGCATGATGACGAAGTTGATTAATGTGACTTCTGCCTCGATCTCTGGGGGAAATTGAGGATTTCCAATTTTGGTTGTCATCCAGAGAGAAAACTTATCATTGTAAGGCACAAGCTGGTCCCCTGCAACACGTTAGAACGCAGCGCGCAAGCCCTTCATCATTCACGCAACGAAACAGATCATAGGGAGATATGAAGGCTTTACATCGGCATACCAATGCGAACAAAATGGTTTCCGTTAACTTCAACAACATTCTTGGTAATAATGGGCTCGAGTGATGGATCTATTTGAGTCTGCAGGCGCTCCAGCAATACGGAGTGCCCGGTTTGCACCGAAAGGTGAAGAACCCGCATTAGTGACTTCGATTCAGGGTCAACAACCTGAACCAAAGGAAATACATGCAAAAGCTGGAGCTTGTCAAGCGTGTTTAGCAGCTCTTCTGGATACCTCTATACTGATAAGTGAAGCAAGTAGTTTTACATTCTTTTTTTTTTTGATTTTTTACCGTGATATCTGGAGACTTTAACTTTCTAATCCACCGATTAGCTTGGCTTTGAGGGTCAATAATAAGAGGCCATTTTGAAGCCTTCGTTATTAAAGCACCATTTTCGGCGGAAAAAGGATCCGTCGGAAGCCCATCCAACTGCCACTGACGAACTTCCACAGCAGTGACAAGAAAATCGGTGAAATCGAAATCTGCGCTGCAGGGGATATTCAAATCTTGCAGTTTGCGCATCCAGAGCTCCTTTACCTGAAGTGTACGGTCGGTAAGCAGGCTGTGCCGCAAAATCATCTCTTCAGCTTTCCTCTTAATGCACGTTTACTTCTCTGCTATTCCGTGGATAGGAAATCGAGTAAAACGGTTGATTGCAGGGTTACAACTTTCTTTCAAACTTACAAGATGAGATCTATAGGGAGACGTAAAAGGGCCAGCGTACGACATGAAGGCTGCTCCAAGAAGAGCATCTCCCGGAATATTGTCGAGTTTGTCCCTATGGCTCTCCAAAGATAGCTCCCATCGATCTCTTTCGTCTGCCAAGCCAGTAATAAGGCTTTCTGCTCTTTCAAGCTTCACTCGTAACTCCTCTGCCGAATTGTTGAGCTCGCCCTTATTACGAAGGCTCTCGTCGTACTGCTTATTCAGCTCCTCAAGCCGTTTTTGTATGTCCTCCAACCTGCAAAGGAACTCCCAGACTTCTACGTAATTTCTGCATTTCGCTCTGGCTCTAAGCTGGTACCTGGCGCCTGCGTGCTGCTGTGCTTACCTGCCGCGAGCCAGCCGTAGATCTGTTTGTTTCTTTTCAAGCTCCTCTTCTGCAAGGCGAAGCTTCAGGCGTTTTGGCTCAACGTCCCTGTAGACTTCCGCGTACATTTGCATGGCATGGACCCACAAACACAAGGCTCCAGCAGCACGAGAAACTTTCTGAACGTTTGGTGGCGCAAACGAAGGGTCTTTTGTGAATTTTTCGATCTTTTTCAACGTTGCATTTGTGATTGAGTCTTTGTCAAAGTTTTTAACTCTTGTCAAGAAACTGGGATCATTCAGTTCAACTTTTGCTTGAGACCAAGAAGGCGGCTTTTCCATAACTGTCATAACAGCCGCCATTGTTTTGACTACGAGTTCTGCAAAAACACCGCACAGTTTTAGCTACAACCTGCCACGAACGCCAAGCAGGCCAAGCTAGCTACACACAGTGGCCAACCAATCACACGGAAGCCACATTTGAATATAAGGACCTGGTGGCTTTGTATATGCCTTGACTTCGGCAACTGATTTCTTGTCAAGTTTCTCAAGAGCATCTATTGCTGCTTCTAGCGCTGGCATTGCTTTGTCAAGGTCTCGCCTAGCTTCCTCTGAAAGGAGCTTCGTCTCCACTTCTTCCGTTTGAATTCTGGCGCTGTCTGCTTCAACCTGCATGCCGCATTACATAGCTGCGACAGTCTGGTCATATTTTTCATGGCGCCATATTTTGTATGGGATTCATTCAAAATTCTTGGCGTAATAGGCACTCAGCAAAGGCGGAAAAGTATCTTGATACCTGCTTCATTTGTTCATCCGCCAGCGTGCGCTTCTCGACAATGACCACCATCAGTTCGTCACACTCCCGCTGCTTTTTTGCGACATCTTCCTTTTTGGCCTCGAGCTCCTCATTCATTGCCTCTACCTGATATCGGGCCTCTACTAGCTTGCCTAAACCGGTTGACAGTTTGTTCATCTTTTCGTGAACTCCATCTCGTTTTTCCTTCAGCATGCATCGATAGCCCTAAACCACAGAGAAACCCATGTACACTTGTCTTAAGCATAAGTCCATGTAAACGCAAGCTGGATTTCGCGAGCGTTTGGAAATTTCGGAAGCCTTACACTAACGAGTCGTAAAAACTTCGTAGGCGTTATATAACTGGTGCGCTTTGCCTCTCTCCAAAAGGCTTCAGCTTCACTGATAGCATCCATGTGAACACAGCTGCTCGCTTTTGCAACCGCTTCACGAGTTGGGCCGTCCATATCCGCATTTTCCAGGAAGGTTGCTGCCACCTCCTCCAATGCATCTTGGGGCCAGGTGAAGAACCAGTCGATTGTCGTTTCATTTATGAATGCCGGAAACATCCTGAATTTATTTGTGCAACAACGTTTTTAAGGCATTCCATCATGAAATAATTACTTGTCCAAAGGCACGCAATCATACACGTCCATGATATGGTGTCACCTGCAGGCCTATGACATGCGTTCCTGACGTCTGCTACTTGTTCCTTACCGGCAGTAGTCCCTTAGCTTGCTCCCAATTGGGCTAACACAAAGCAGTACGCGAATATTTTCCTTGACGCGTGACAAGAAAAATTCGACAATCGCATCAGGCTGTACTGAAACTTTTGCAGCTTCAGCTGCAGCATGGAGGTCTTTTAGCAGCATCCCGACGCTTTCGGAATCCAGCATTCCTGGAACATGCCCAGCAGCTAGAAGGCTGTTCAGGCAGTCTGAAAATGCGTCAGTCTTGAGCTCTTTGTCAGTCAACAGTATACTAGTCCGGCTGCCGTCTATACCTGCGGTCAAACGTTACAGACGCGGTTTCGAGATCGCGTCTGGACCCCCGTGGTTTTCATGCAAGCATTGTGCCAAGGCATTCTTCAAATATTCGGCGCACCTGCTTTTAATATTTGCTGCTTTAAATCTTCTTTGAATTCACAAATGGTAAAGTTTTTCGCCACTCGGACCTGCCACAGGCTAAAGTCCAGGAGCTTTGTAGCAAGCATGGCTAGCGATTGCCTTCCACTGCCTCCAACCCCAACCAGCAGCATGTGGCCTCTGGGCATACAAAGCACCCTGTGAATTCTGCAGCAGTGCTCAACTGCCTCCCTGCAAAGACACTCTCAGGACAAACGCACGCTGGAAGTAGCCTTAGCCCCCAAAATAGGCGAGGCGCTTGTGCTGTGTGAGGCACGCTGCATATAGATGTTGACAGGATATTCCGGCCTAGTTGCATCTGTGGATGCAAAAAGCATGCATACTGCCAAATACAGCACCTTCGACAAAGTTCTCACCTAAAGAGAACCAAGTGGAGTGTCCCGGTCTTGCTTATTGCGTTGATCTCCTTCAGCTTTAGTTGAAGGCTGGCTCTCAACGCCTGGCGATCCTGCACTTCCTCGTACCCACCTAATGCTAAGGCCCCAGACTGCTCTGCACGCAGGTGACTAAATAGGACGCCTCTATCCTTTGTCAAATCCTTTGTACGTATTTGGAACGTCTTCTCAAGAACATTGTCCAGGACTTCTATAAAATGGTCTACATCTTCAACAGATGCTAAGCGGTCTTGGTAGACACGCTGACACTCATGATACCTTTGTACAACGCCCAAAAAGGAATGCTGGTGACTGCATGATTGATCAGTCTACGCCTTTGAATCGGCGTATTTTTGCGGCCTGTTGTTCATCCTATATTAGCTTCACCTGAAAGCCCGTACCATAGCTTAAGGAGAGCATCTCTATCCTCAATGCATCGATGGTCAGCCTGGTAGAGGCCGTGAACGACTTTTGACGTGTCCCGCATGCTGAAAAGGTAGTGCGGTTTCTCAGGTTTCGGTCTAAAGCTTTGGCGGACTGCTTGGTGCAGTGCCACAGTTGCGGCGGCGATATTCTCTGCAGCGCTCCTCACGTCCTGCGGCAGGCAGCAAGACAGAAGTACAATGTGACTGCAAGCAGATCTTACACAGAAAAGCAAAACCACGCTGTATAGCATACTGATTCTTACTTCTTTGAAATCAGAAAACTTGTGTAAAACCAACGTTTGGTAGATACGGCTGAGGCGCGGCAATGAGGGCTCTAAAAATGCAATAGTATTGAAGCGCGATAGCAACCGGGGAGCTATTGTAGAGCGACCGCCTTCAGAGGATCTCATGGCTGCTATGACTTGCATGTCAAGAACGACCTTCAATGACTGCCGGCTCCGGTCATACCTGAAAGCGACCACATGTCAGAAGGCTACTTTGGAAGCATGCTAAATAACAAGCTAATGGCAATATGTCATGTGACTCAACTAAGAAAACAATGGGAATATCTACTGATGTTTTTTTCCTACCAGCTGCCGTAGTCGATAAAGTGTCTTAGAAGCTCAAGGGGGGGTTGGGAACCAAATTGATCTGGTCTTGGCATGTCCAGGTCGTCGATGAAACAAACCAGTATTTTCTTCCCAGGTGGTCCCCATTTTCCCTTCACCCGTTTTTCTAGTTTGTTTTCGAAGCCCTGCGTGAGCCGCAAATGCAGCAGCAATTGGAAATGACATGGGAGATGCCTATTGTACTTTGGTCTTAGCCGCTGTTGGCGTCTGACATATTGAATGGCGTACCTCCTGTGCTTCCTTTGAAGAGGTCTGTGATGAAAAGGTTAGCGTTGTTGTTGTGTAGACGCTGTCAGGTAGGTCGTTTAGAACGGCTTTTAAAATACAAGAAGTTTTGCCGCAACCACGGCTCCCAACTACAAGAGAGTGAGCTTTGTGTCGCATAAGACCACCTAGGAGGAAAGCGTGACAAACAATATCAGCCGTTGGAACGAATATCCGGTGAAATGGCATGCCATCTAGCGGCCTGAAACCACATGCAAGTCGTTTGTTCGGGGGGAAGTGCGTTTGCGAACGCAGCATGAACTGCTCACCAGCCAACTGCTCCGCGTTTTTGCTCCAAACAGAAAACTGCAAGAGACGACTCATGCAACTTCTTTAAGGCACAGTCGCAGTATCAGTTAGCGTCTCTGAAATATGCCTTTAGAGTGTTTGCCACTCGTTTTGCGCTACCTGTACGGCGAAGGCACTCGGTCCTCCCATAGCGTCCACTCTCCCTTTTCAACACTCAGGGCGTAGTCATACACGGTATGCGATGGCGGAAAGCTGTTGCTAATCTGACGAATTGTTGAATCAATGTGCGACCTGCTGCTTGATGTCATAGCTGCTCCCACAGTCCAGACAAGTGCAAAAAGGAAGATTTTCTCCAAAAGGGGCTGTGATCCGTGACTCTGAATATTTACAGAGAGACTCTTGCAGCCGATACGGGCCTTTGACAGAGAACTGCTGCAGTGTCTTTGATTCAAAAAGCTGCCTAGCTCATAAACAAATTCTAACTTAGTCAGGCGTCATACTGTCATGAGTGCCTACCTTGACATTCACAGTTGGTTGGCAAGCAACTATTTCGAACAGTCGGCAGAGTGATAAAACAGCCCCAACTTTCGATAATTTCACGACTTGTTCACCTTCGTGGACTGCCTATAAGACGTAACATACATCACAAAGAACTGCACGCGAATCTGTGACTCCTGGTTACGTTGGATCATATCTACCGAGTAAAATGTTTTGAGGGGAGAAAAAGCTAGGATATGAAGCTGCACTGTCTGGAACACCTTCAATTGATTCTGATAAGCATAGGCGCATTGGGGATGTTTACCTGCTGCACTTTTGGGAGATACTTGTCGAAGAGAGATCGCAAATATTGAGCTGACTCGTCTACGCCGTATTGTTTGGCTATCCATGCGTCCACATACGGGGCCCAGCCTAAAGGGACATATATATTCACACACCTTGGCTTCGACTAGGCTATTGGGTACTAGTATGCTTATGCTGAATTCTAAGATTCTTGAACTGTCATTTTACTCTTGGGACGGGCCGCACTCACAGAATATGTTGCCTACCTAGCATTGCAGGATCCATAAAGAGTATGCCTACCCGACTAACGGTCGATGGAGACGCAGCCGACAAGTTTTCAACTTCGAAAAGCAACGACACCTAAAAAGTCCATTTCCAGACGTCCGAAGGAGCTGCACTGTGCAACACATCGTTCCAGTATCCTGACATCAACATCTACAAGATAACTTATTCAGGCTTACCTGGGGATGCAGCTCAATTCTATCTCCGTTCGTCAGCGTCAATGTTTTGCTGTCATCAAGAAGTGAATTCATGCTTTCTACCCACGTCGTGTCAACTGGTCCATCAAGTACAACCCATCTACTGCATCTGCTTTGTAGCTGCACTTCGTTGCAGCATGTTCGAAGCAATGCTGAAAATACTCCATCGGTCCACTCGCGTGTAGTGGAGCTAAACCCGCCGTAGAGTTCTGAGCCGTCAAGTGACTTGGGATTGACAACGCATTTTTTGACTCTGGGATACTCTGGTCCTGTAATTGACGCAGGCATTCCCTCGAAACTTGCCAACTGTTCTTACTAGCCACAAACGATTGTCTGTTCCTCATATTCGCTTTTGCAGCTGGAGTTAAACGACAAACTGCAGTTCAGACGAATGCACTTCGACGCCATGCAATCCTCGCTAAAGAAAACACGAGCTGACCTCGAGTACTGAGGTAGTTCAAAGCTTGCTCTAGAATGGACATCACTGTGGATTTGCCAGACAGAGTACTGCCAACAAGCATGTTTCCGTGTCGACTGTGCATGCATTGAAATAACTGCTGCGCCTTGGTCATTTGACTCTCCACTCTGGTCCACCCGTTCCTCTCTACTGCCAACTCAATAGCTTCCCGGAGAACTTCTGATTCTCTCTGTAAAAGAAGCACAACACGGTTGCTGATCTTGCGAGGAGTTTCCCGGTGAAAAGAATACGCATTCTTATACGAGACTTACTTCAACAATATCATTTTCAGGGAATAGATCCTTAACAAGAGAAAACAAAATTTCCAAGTCTTCTGGAACAGTTTTAGGGACAACCATGTCAAGGATGGCCAAAATCATGACAGCCTGCTCCGTCATGCTTTCATCCGCCTGACGCTTGACTTCTCCAGCCCTCTGCAGCGCTGCACGAATTGGACGAAGTCCAAAGTCGTAGTGGTCTTGCTTGCTTAGCTGTTGTGTCAATAATTGAAAGAGAGCAGTAGCTTTCCGCGACAGTGATCGGGCATTCTGCAGAGTCAGAGGAACATCACCACCTCAGGAAAAACCCTCATCAAATGTGCTTTAGCATAACGCCCAAGCATCTGATTCCTCAGAACGTCCTGCTACTGACCTCAAATCCTTCTGACATTAGTAAAATTTCACATATTAGTGCAACGTCTGGGCTCATCATGGCAACGGGGCGGAATAGGCTTTTCAAGTTGTCAGGCAGGTCTGCTCTGCCCCTGTAGCCTGGATTCATTGTGCTAAATATAGCACAGCCAGTATCCAGGCGGACCCTCTGTCCCTCAAAAAAGAACTTGCGTTGCACGTGCTCATCCGGCGGTATTTCCCTGAACGAGTGCAAGAACACCATATAGCGAGAGGGTCACGCGCCGCACATGCCATTGTGTATCTCAAGCTGCGTCGCATGAAGCACTTGCCTTAACGCGTTCTGAATAGTCGATATTTGCTGTGCAACTACGGAGAGAACCTCCAGGCCTATTCGGTTAAACTCGTCAAAGCAGCACCAAGCGCCGCTTTGGGCCAGCCCACTAAAGATTCGGCCCAGAGACAAGTAATCAAGTGCGTCCGAGCAGTTGAAAACAATAACAAATTTTGCCAGTGTTTTTCCAAGGTCCTTTACTGTTTCAGTCTTTCCTGAGAGAAAGAGCCAAAATTAAATACAGAATTTTTAGTATTTAGTATTCGGCACACGAAAACCATTTTAAGAAGTTTAACGATTTTCTGTAGAAATAGACGCAGTGGCAAGCAGTTTTTTCAGCCGATCCTATAATGCTGCAGCATTAGCGTACCGGTGCCTGCAGGGCCCTGGCATGATCCGCCCAATCTGCAGTGTAAGGCGAATGTAAGGGCCATAAAGCATTGGTCTGTGAGAGGGGTTATGACCAGCCGACTGTAAATTCCTTGATACTCGTAGCCGTAGGGTGTCACTGTTTCTGTTTGGAGGCCCTGGCACAGGAGCGTGCCCGAAAAGCCTGTTTGGTTGAAGGATGCCGGATTGCCGCCTGCATGAAAAAATGCAGATCGCTGGCGACGATGTGCACCATGCGTCACTGGTCAAACAAACAGAGCCAAGGCCATATTAACCCCATTAAAAAGCTAAGAATCTGCGCCTGTTTCGTGAGGCTTTTACTTCTTTCAGCCTCAGAAATATCCTCCCGTAGCTCCAGTCTAAGTTGTGAAGTCCACAAAAAGTGGTGTTCACTGTCACAACGGCTTTGAATCAATTTTTCCTGGATGAACAGCAGAGCAGTGAGCATTTAAAAGATCTCCTGCAGTGCTCGCTGCGTAGACCAAAAAGTAGTTCTCATCATACTGGTTTAGAAGATCTAATTGTTAAGGTCGTACATGCACGTCGCGGTTGTGCACTTCAACAGTCACAAGCGCCTTCAGTTTCATTCGGTCTCTGTCATTTCCTGCTTTCTTCAGAAGCTCTGCCAGATGAAATAACTGCTTCGACTGGTGGCGCTTTAAAGTTTTCAGAGCGAATTTGTTGCCCTTGCTGAGCCGGCGGAGTGCACTCTCTGTCTCCATGGTCCTAATGGAGCAATTAGGTTTGAGGAAAAGTAGAAAATTCCCTGAGCCCTCATCTACCGCTACGGTAAATATTTAAAAATGCAATGTGTGTGCTCGAAACAACACGTTAGCTGTCTCACCAAGTGATTTGGCAAGACGTAATGACCAGCTGGAAACAGTTATCTTTGATCCACTTGTCCTTCTTGCTTCCATGCGCCATGCTTTGCTGATGTACAGCTACTAGCTGTTTTTTTAAAGTGTCGTGCATTGAGCGTGTAAGCTGAGCAGAGCTTTCACAGTGGGACCATGAAATTTTCCACAAATCGTGGAAAATTACCGATCATGCGAGGCCTCCCTGGATGTGTGCTACTTATTAGAATTACCCGTACCTTGTTTAGCCATTGTTCTACACCCCCTTCAACAGATATCGGTCTTGGAACAAGCTTGAGTCTCTCTCCTTCACACGATGTAAAGCCATCTGCTTCCCAGCATTTGTTTCCACGTCTTCCTGCAGTGGTTCCACAGGCCGTGTGAATCCTCGCTCAGTGTAGTAGAAAACAAAGGACTTGCATTCCTGATCAATGGAAGCAAATGCTTTGTAGCTGCCTTCTGAGGTCGATTGCACTACCGTACTGCCCTACCGGGTGCCACAAGATCAAGGGATTTTATTCCTTGGAAACACTTTTTGATGTAATTCTGAGCCTTCTCGGGGTCCCTCGCATCACCCAATATTTCAAGCATGTCAGAATTAGAAACGAAATAGAATCGAGGGAATTCCTGTCTGCAAACGAAAGACACAATAGACTGCAACATGTGCCATGGAAAATTCTTAATCAAGATCCAGACACCATGCTGAACCATTGTGAAAGAAAATATGAAGAGCCCCTGGAAAACAGAAAATAAAAAATATTAGAAAGTGTGTTATGCGAAGAAACAACATGAGCACAGAGGGCGTCAGATCTCATCAAACGAACCTTTTCCTCTCCAGGTAATCATCGAGAGACTTTTGGATAGCTTCTAAATCATCATTCATAAGACGGAGTTCCTCCTTTATGTTTGGTTGGCTGCAAGCATTGACCAGTGTGGAAGCCTGCTGAAAATTCAACAGCGTGTAAAAAAAGAGCCTATCTGTTCTATCGAATAGCGTCGCTTCCTGGGGCAGCAGTATGCGGATGTCTTCAGAACCTGTCATCTCGTAGACACAGAGGCAAAAATGCTTTTCTTGTCCACAGCAATGAGTCAAAGGGCACTTTTAAAGGCTCCATTTTTGTCCCCCTACCTCGAAAGACATTTTCAAGGTACGCCCATTGTCTTTGCACCTGTTGCAACAGCTCCAAAAGTTCCGCTATGACTGAAAGAGTAGACTCCCAATAGGTTACGATATCTTTGAAGGGGACATGAAACTGGTCGTTCTTAATGGTTGAAAGGCTCAGCAAATGCTCCTCTAGCGTAGACAGAAGGTCTTCGTCTGTTTCGACCCGAAGCATGTTAGTCTTGTATGGCACAATTTTCAGCTCCAATGAGCTCCACACAGATATAATTTCATTGAGTGCCGCCTCGATCTTGAATTCCTTTCTTGCTTCTTCAGTCAAACGGGAGACCAAATCTGTAAAAGATTACGCATAGGTTTTGCTTGTGCCATCAAGCCAGCGATTTGTTGAATTGCGTCAAGCGCGTTGCTTACAATAACAGGAGGGGCGCGTAACACATACCAGAACGACGCAGAAGCTCCAAATGAAACACAGACTTCAAAGTGAACTCCCGCGAACGCTGGTCAAATCCTTCGGCTACTTCCGCCTTGATCCGATCCCAGTGACGATCTCGAATTGCCTGAACAAGTGATGCATTTTTGCCCTTGTTAGGCGCTGTACTTGCTGCTGTGTACGTTATTTCAGAAGTTTACCTTTTGCGCACTAGAACCCAGAGGAACGTGGTCCCCACATTTAAAAATGGCTCAAGCAGCTTGTGTCAAGAAAAACAAGTTGATTATGCAGAGTGCTCACAGGGTCTAAGAGATTGGTCACGAGAGGCAATGCCTGTATCACTTGCTCTAGCTCATGCTGAATCCTTCTCCAAATAGGCCAATCCCTGCCCTCTTTGATTTTAAATAGACGGTTAAAAAACGCGTCGCCTTGTGCATAAATCTCCGGAACATTTAATGAATAAAAGGGTTTGGAGCTCATTGACTCCCATGCTTCGTCCCAGTCGTTCTGAGGAGCACAATGCCATGGCATCGTACTCTTGAGTACACAACTACATTCTTCGTAGAGGTGCTTTTTTTCCTGTAGTGCTAGTGAATTACTGTGTGCCTAATATAGGGCAAAGGCACTTACCTTCAGCGACCACACGTCCCACAACTTGTCGATATCACTTTCCATCTGTTCCAGGTCCCGGTTGCTGTGGTACTCAATCCCGAAAAACTCAAGAATCGGTGAAAGCTCCTCCCTGGAAGCAGCAAGCTTATTCAGGTCGGCCTTGAACCCCTCTAGAATCCCGAATGCTGTGGCGGCCTCAAATTTGAAACTTGATCCGTCAAATGGCGCGGAGATCATAAATTGTTTAAAGAGGTCTGATGTCCTGCGAGCTAGGGAGGTGACAAGCATCTCGGCATCAATTTTCATGGCCTTCTTGGTCCTAAAGTAGGAAAAGAAGGACAAAAAGAAAACACCGTGCACGTATTCAAACAGAATCAATCGTTTCACACGTTATACGTTTGGGCAGAGAAGCACTTTGCTCATGCATACACACTTAAAATATACAAGAAGCTCGTGCGTCTTTCATTTCATCAGAACTTTGCAGGACTGCTATTCAACCTTGTGGCAAACCTACCGGATAAGCATGCTCTCTGCAGCGTCTAGTGCTGCCTGGAAGCCGTCAATTGCTGGCGCAAGCTTTTCCAGCTTCGCCGCTTCTTCTTCAGGCACATGAACTGAGCGTAGCGCAAATAACGTTTTATCTGTGTCAGTAAGGGTTGAGCCAGTAAAGCACAATGAGAGGGCTGAGGAATGTGGCGAAGCTACAGAATACGCAAAACTGTAGAGAAAGCTGTGTACTGTAGTCAAGGCATTCGACTTTATTTGAATCCGAGCAATTTCAAAGATTTGCATTCTGTGTCTGATTCAATGTCCTTAACTTATACCTCGAAGCTCTCGAAGAGTAGAAAATTGCTCTTGAAGAGGCTTTATTCTGCCGCGTAATTCTGGCAACTTTTCTTTGCACAGACTGCACAGCTCAACTTGGCTTCTTATCTCTTCAGTATTAGTAGGAACTCGCTGCAGAATTTGGGTGTTCGCTGAACCACACACTCCGCTCTAAAATGCAAACACCTAACTTATCCACATATTAAGAAGTCTCCGAGGAGAGGTTTTTCCCATTTATAGCTGTAGCAAAACATCTCAGGCTTCTATAACCACCTACACTCAATGTAGTCGAAGATCGCGTTTTGCTCCTTTCTTGCGCTGTCATGCAAATAAACAGTCAGGGCTGTTTGCTTCATGGAGCAATGTCCCAGCAAAGATTGCTTTAATTGTGTGAAGTCGGTTTCTAGGAAGCAAATAACCGTCTGCGGATTCGTGCACAACACGGCACGTATTTCCAGAAATCATATTGGCTGGTGAAACTCAAGAAGCGTGAGTACGCAGTCGCTTTCTGGCATATAAATATGTGCCCTACATTTGCTAGCGTGCTCACCTTCGATTCTTCCTGCTGTATGTCACTTTGATA